CTGTTTGAAGTTTCCCTTTTTCCCGGCTACCTTCAACCCTTAAGATGCTGAATTTTCGAATGATCGTAACTTTCGACTCGAACGTCCTTTCGACGCGATTTTTTTTTTGATTCCCCGTATTTTTTCGAGATCTATTCGAAAAGTTCATTCGCTTCGGTTGAATTTCGCTTTAAAATAAATAAATATGTAAATAACATAACAAATAAGTTAAATAGACCAATTATACATTAAATATGTAAATATATAGTTAGAAAATTTGAAATAGATTAGTAGACTCACCTCGTAGCATTGACTCAAATCAGAAAGATATGTAAAAGATACAACACCTTTAGACAACTCATCAGTAATAGAATGATGTTTTTGAGAACTTGTCTAGGAGAGCCTCTCATATTTATAATCACATGATGAAATCAATCTGCAAAAAAATTCATAACATATAGTTTTGATATAATTTAGAATTATTATTATTAAACAAAAGAAGAATTAACTACATTGCAAATGTTGAGAAACATGCCTAAGCAAAACTAAATAATTTTCTAACCTGTATTTGAATTCAGTAGGCTGAGGAAGATTAGGATTAATCCAGATTTTGGTTTGATACCAACAACTATGATACCAACAATTACGTACTGAGTAATTTTCTGATGATTGATATTAAACAATGTCAAAAAATTATACTAATTAAATTTGTATTTTATATACAATTGCTGCAATTACAATGTTTAAACCTCTAAATTTGTGAGCCTTCATTAATTGACAAACAACGATCAAAGGTTCATCTGCAGATCCCGTCAAATGTGGTTGTATTTGGTCCGCAAGTTCACCCCATAATGTTGTTGACAGTCTATTTTTACTGTATGAATGGAATTTAATTACATTTTAATATATAAAAAAATATATATCTATATATAAAAGGATACAATGAATTTAAAATAATTTCTTTCCCCTTTGACACAGGAAAGCTGTAGATGAAGTGCTTTGCAAATCTACCAAAAATATAAATAAAATAAAGTTAATTAAACAAATTAAAAAGAAGAAATTTTAGATAAAATGCACAAAAAGGTATTTAATAGATGAAATAAATTTTATGAAATTTGAAGAAGATAAAAGTTTTAAAAATGAAGAATATATAGGTAGTGTAATATATTTCACTGTTGTATAGTAGAAGACATGTACTATATTGAGCAATAAAAAATAGAGATAGGAGATCAAAACCATTGACATCTGATGAGTATTTTCCTACGTTTTTTTATTCTGTCGTAAGCTAAATCTTTGTTTTCTTGCTAATTTCTTCTGATCTGTCATGACTTTGTTATGAGTTATTGAACTTGAAATCTAATATTATGGTGAATTACCATGATAAATGCAGTTGACCAAATAGCAGTTATTTTCAAATATATTGGTGAGTAAATTTCGCCATTGTACAACAACATGATACTTTCAATTACATGATTATATTATGAGTAGAGGTAATAAGTGAATTGATAGGCGAGTAGAAAATAAATTGGGATGTCCTGATTTACAAAAGTAGTTACATACTTACATTTGCATAAAAAAAAATCTGTGTTAAGTTGTAATTCTAGAGAACAAGCACTTTTGAATTCTAGAGAACAAGAACCTTTGGTAGATGCTCACATGTGAAGAGCAAATGAATTCTAATATCACCGTTGATGAAATTGTAGTCAATGATGATAATGACGGAGTAAATTGTTTGAGTGTTTAATAATTTATTGAATGTTAAATAATGCTAATAGTGGTTTGACATAAAATTCACTTTATATATAGATGTTAGATACCAATGCTTGATATTTCCTATCCAAAAGTTCTCCATCATCTCACAAATGCATCACCACTGCATGAATAAACATTCGATTTTACACTGTTAAATGTAAAAATGCAGCCTACCAGTACATGTCTGATACAGAAGATGCATGTCTCAACATCTTAATGAGGCACATATAGTATGCATTTGATAATACACATCCCTTGTAATTTGATTTGTCACACTCATATGATATGGTTTACGCTTTAAGAAGTGTGCGACTTGATACCTTATCTGGTAGGAGTTAATCATATTTGGTACTTGGTATCATGAATAGTATGAACCTTTTTATATTTGGATTCAGCTCATTTTTTGGCAACTTTAGACAATTACTGGCACCTCTTAGTTATGAATTTATGATAAAAGGTGCAAAAGTTCATCAGCTCGATTGCTTTCAAATTCTTTCTTTCCTGGTTGTGACAATATTCCTTACTACCCAATTGCATGACTGTGCTTTTTTAATGATCAGTGCATGACAATAAATTTTCAGTGACAGAACTTTCTTTCCTGTGCATTTGGAGGACTTTCTGGGGAATTTATTAGTTTTTCAGATATCATTATGTAGAGTGGTTCTGTTTGATTCTTTTTTTTCTATGTTCTTTTTAAGCTGCTTCAGACATTGTCTCTGAAGCATATCCTCTTTAGATGATTTATTTAGAACTAGAATGGAGACTAAGTTATCTGTCCCACCTATATTTTCAGGAGACAGAATCAGTAGAGCAAGCCAGCTAACCTTCCTTAGGATGAATCACAGAATACTGGGCAAGGTTATAATCATGTCATCCCGATACTCAAGTATTTGATATTTTTACTCACACTTCTATATAGTAGAATGTAGGATTAATATAGACCGGTGGTTGTTAATTCTTAAAAAGAGCTATGTGATTGCACATGTAAAGCAACATACTCCTAGGTTTCAAGGATATTAGCTCCCTCTTCCTCTTCACTAGGCAGTTTGAGTGCACTTTATATTATATTTTCAAGTAAAATTAGAATGGTTTAGGTTGAAGAGAATCTTCTTTGCAGCTAACTGTTAGTAGTAGTTAAGAAATTACAATTTGAGATGTCTTCCTTATGTATGCCATTAGTTCCACTTCAAAGTAACTAATGAGTCATGGGCATGGTGACTATCCAAAATTGTAGTGGCCATTAAATATTTTTATTTGTTGATCTATATGTTGTTTGCCAATCAAACTTTTGTATTTTCTTCGTTAGTCCCAAACTGCTCATAAACATGGTTTAGTCTATGGATAACATTTTACCTCTATTTTCCCATCATGCAACTGCCACGAGCAACAGAGCATTACTCCGACTTCAACTCTTTGAAAACATGACTTCAGTGAAGGGTGATGGAAATCAAAAAGAGGAACTTGAAGTCTAAACTTCCCTCCAGACTGCCTCAGCTACCAAACAAGCAGGACGTAGATATGAGTTCAGCTGATCAAGATTACGAGTCTACTGAAAGGATAAGCTTGAAAGCAAGAAGGAAATAATTAATTTGACACTTAATAGTTAATGCTGCCCCGTGCTGCCAGATATTAAAAATTAGATCAACGACTTCTTTTTGGATTCTGAGATGAGTGTCTAGAAAAACAATGAAGTTGTTGTTCTACCAATTTTAATATATTTCCAAGTTTGTGCCTACTATCACTACATTAGCTACTGATCTTTATCCCTGTATCCTACTGTGATTATTACTGTGTTCAATTTCCTTCACTTTTGTTTGTCTCCGTTCTTCGGCTTCCTTTGATGGTTGTCATTTAGCTTCTTCGCTTTATATGATCTCACAGATAAACATTTTAGGCTTTTGACATTCTTATTTTGATCAATGTTGAAGACCTCAATATACAATCAGAAAATTCAGTGTTCTTTTACCTCTGTGTTTGTGATGCCATCAAACTGCACCATTTCTATGCTTACTTTCAAGTATGTGTTTTCACCTTGAACAACTGATAATATAATAGTATTGCGCTTTCATTTATTAATTTGTGTTCCAATCTCTTGGATATATAAAAGAAAAAGAACATCGAAAGGCATAAAGTTGAGCGACCATTGTCTAGTATTCTCCCTAAAAGTGAGTTATTTTGACATTCCCTTTACATTGGTTATGAGAAAAAAATATTTTTTTAGAACTTTTTTTTTGGTTAAATAAATTATATAAATTAGAGTGTTCATAACTCACTATCAACAGGAGTTATTGTGTCGTGGTGAGACTATTTCAGCTTAATTAGAAGTCTCGAATTTAAGCCTATGGTATAGAGAAAATTTTGTTGATAGTAGCACTCCTGAATAAACTTTGCACTGCCCGAACCAAATCCAGATTAAGCTCGAATTCCAGATTCTCAGTGGCCATGTACTCCTTGGTTGTTTTCTCAAAGGAACTGCTGCCACACAAACCACTTTCAAAAGTTCATCTGCATCAAAGGGATTGTTTTCTTCAACTTTTGGCAGGTAGAGACTCCAACTCATCTCTTCCCACCCCCCAACCCAGAAATAAAATTAATCCTCTAAATCTCCGTTGTGTATAAAACGGAGCAGAGAGAGTACTAAGAATAACAAATGAGGGAGTGCACGTGTAATATCACGAAAAGAGTGGTTCAGTGAGGGGTGGGAAAGAAACTCAAAACTCAAAACACGAATCACCTCAAAAGCTTAGAAACCTGTCAGGGCCTCGAGCATTAGTTAGCCTTGTGAAACAAGATAGAGAACAAAACACCAAGAAATAGAACTTTCTCCAAAATCTCAGACACACATGAAACCCGACCCCAGATAGCAGCAAAACCCCACCTCGTTTCTCTTCCCCACCTCGTTTCCTCATCAAATCACCACTGTTCCACCACCCAAAGCCACTGGAAACAACCTCCGAAAATGCCATGAAACCCGACCCCAGATAGCAGCAAGCTTACGAGCTCGAAACCAACAGCTTCAACGCTACTAGACAAAAACAATCAGCTACTAGCAGCTTCGAGCTCCGGCGCACTCGCAAAGAGGCAGACCCATATCGCTTCCTTTCCTTCTTCTCGGTGAAACTTTCCCTCTTTCTTACTTCATTTTATTTTAGTGGGTTTGGTTTGATTACAATTAATTTTATATGTTGCTGCTCATTATTGTCCTCATTTTTATGTTGAATTGTGTTTACATTTTAGTTGATTTTTGTGTTCATATGCTTTGTTCAAATTCTTGTTTGATGCTCTGTTTATTTTAATTATGGTTGTTGTTTTATTATTCTTATCCAATGTCCTGTTTTTATGTGAGTTGTTTTGTTTTTTCATTTGGTTACTGTTAGTATGAGGTAGCTGGGAATTGACATAGCAAATTTATGGTCTCTGAAGCACTGCAACAGTTTTTCATGGCTACCAAACTTGCATGTTCATCATCTCTGCCATGGATTTGGGTGATTGAAGCACTGGCAACTTCCAGTGAGATAGACACATCTTTACTCATCAGTATGTGTGAAGTTACAATTCCTTTATTTTGTGGAAGCTGTTGTTAAATTGTGGGCATTAGAGTTTTGACTTTAATAGTTCATGCATAACAGATTTGCTTAAGAGGACTCCTGAAATCTCTGATGATCTGGGGAGAAATGCAAGGGAAATGGTTTCCTTGAGAGTTTTAGAGAGCTTATTTGTTCAGAAAAACTCAGATGCAAATAGTGTTGCTTCAGTTCCAGGTGAGAAAGTTGAACTTGATCCGTCAAGGGACTGTGAAGATGTCCTTCGCTGCATATTGTTGGAGGTAATTAGTTCAAGGGAATGGTCTCCTTGAGAGTTTTAATTACTTCTGTTTTACATATGCTTAGTTGTGTCTTTGCTTGTAAATGTAATACAGGTGTCTGCATCAAATCTAAAAACAGCTACGCCAGATATGTTAAAGTGGGATGTTCTCTCATTCATTATGAAAAAGAGATCTATCTTGCCGAAGTGTCACTTGCAACAAGTAAGCTAGTTTTAATAGTCTTTTGAATTTGATTGGTTGGAACATATGAAAATATTATGTCTGATTGGGATTTGCTATATTTTGTGTTGATAAACAGTTTAAAGATGCCATTGTGAAATCGACGAATCCTTTTTCCACTTCCTTGAAAGAAAGAAGTGGATTGGAGTTGGGGAACCACTACAGAGACAGTGTTACTGCTGATGCTATTGATTGTGATGGCTTTAACGAGGGACATGAAATAGGAGGTGTGAATACCCGACGTTCTGCACCAACTGAGTACTTGGATACTTCAACACAGGGCAACAAGAATGGCCTGCAAGAAAATCAGCCTGGAAGCACTCTGCTGCCGGTTAAGAGAAGTTTTAATGCCCCTAGTGCTTATGAAGCCACACCAGAGAAAAGTTCTGATCCATGTGCAAAGGCTGCCAAAAAGTTTAAGCAGGATGTTGCTGGTCCCATTCAGAACACTGTTCCTGATTTGATATCGTCTCAAAGAGATGGAGTCCCAGCAGAATCATGTGGAGGAAGTCAATCTATTGTTCAAAAAAGGAACTCGGAAGATGATGGTACCCTCAAAGCAAATGGATGCCTGAAGGATGGTAAAGCAAAGCATGCTGCATCAGCAAGTGTTTTATGTGGCATTGACTCTAGTATCAAGGATCGGTTGCCTCAAAGAATGAGTTCAGACAAGAAGTTCCAAAGTATTGAAAGTAGCAGCAATTGTTGTGCTGAACTGGGAACATCAAGTGACTCATCCCTGCGTGTGATTCAGCAGGATTCTCGCACTTGTGGCTCCAAAGGTGACATGGATTATAATCTTCCACAAGATCTGCAAAATGGCGAACCTTCTAATGCAGACAAAGAGAATATCGAGCAAAGTCGTGAATCTGAGTTCTCTGGTGATACTGATAAGTATCACAATGAGAGTACTGATCTTGCTTCACAGAAAAATGATTTCTTGAACTTGCAATACGCTCAGGGTGAAGATTCTTTGGCAACTGTTGGCTGTACAGAGCTTAATATTTGTGTGAAGTGTCATGAGGGGGGGAACTTATTAGTTTGTAGTTCTGAGACTTGCTCTTTGGTGGTTCATGAGAGTTGCTTGGGTTCTGTATTCAACTTTTATTACAAAGGAAGCTTCTATTGCCCCTTTTGTACATATTCTCGAGTCATTTCTGAGAACCTGGAAGGTAAGAAGAAGGCCTCACTTGCTAAGAATGATTTGACTGCATTTATTGGCTTGGGAGCTGGACAACAATCAAAGAAGTCACTACCTAGGTCACAAGGAATGAAGAAGCATCAATATCAAGAGGATACAATTGTACAGTTGTGCCGCAATGTAAAGGGTAAGAATTCATTGAATGAGAATAGAAACAAAAATTCTTTAGAGAAGGATGGAGAAGCAAGAAGTCGTCCAGTCACTACAAATTCAATGCGTGCCAAAGTCACGCAGATCCATCCACCTCAACCACATGTTCCTCATGAACATGTGTGCCAAGAAAATTCTGAAGAAGAACAAGATGAGATAGGTTCCAGATACCATGTACAATCTAGGAATCAAGTAAACAAGTAAGTCTTTTGCACTTCGCCAATTATTAAATCATGTGGTCACTTCATATATTCTTCCAAGAAGTGTCATCTGTTTCACTTATACTTTCAAGTGTCTGCACTTATTTCTGTTTTCTCATCTCTTTTACATTGAGTCAAAACATTTTGTTAATAGTGATAATCAGGCACGTGAATTACTGTTGTTTTATTTTTTTTGGTTACGATTTATACCTCTGATTGTTTGCTGTTAATTTTTATTGTTAGAGCGAGTAGTTGGAAACTGTGTTGATAAAGGATGTACTTTTAATTTGCAGTCCCTGTCCCTGGATTCCTAAACTGAGGAGGAAGAACCTCCCATGGACAAAAATGGAGGAGAAAACATTAAAGGTACATGCATATTTTTTTGTCTAAATTTTGCTTGTTTACTGCCTCACACTTATTCTCTCCTTGAAAATGTGGTAAGAATGCACCCCCTTTGTTCAAATAGAAGGTTGAATCATGCATATTCTTTTGTCTAAATTTTGCTTGTTTTCTGCCTCATGCTCGCTCTCCTTGAAAATGTGGTAAGAATGCACCCCTTTTGTTCAAATAGAATGTAAAGTTCACCTCTTTTTCTGGAAGTGCACTTATATTTACTTATGAAAAAAGAAAAGATTGTCCCATTCAATAGGAATAAGAGGTTTCTTTTTGTTGGTTTCACCTGAATCTTGGAGGAATTTACATGCAGCTGTGCTTTTCCTTTCATGTTGCGTATATTAAGGAAAATATATCAATTTTAGTGATTTACTGTAGTCAGTACTTTTCTCTTTGGCCATCTATTGGGTCTAACCTTTGTTGTTGCTTCCGCAGGAGGGATTTCTACGATTCTCAGATTGTGGTGATAGATGGAAGAGGATTTTGGCATTTGGAGGTGATGTTTTCCTGAAAGCTCGGACATCCGGGGACCTCAAAGATAAGTGGAGAAACATTAGCAGAGCAAGCAAGAAAGCAACATAAAGGTTAGTTTTAAACAGTTTCAAATTTTGAATCCGCTTCTGCCACTCCTGAGTCCATTTCGGAGTGTGACTCAAGTTGTGTTGTGTGCGTACATACATGACTGCATGGGAAAATTGGGATAAAGATGAATGTAAAGACTCGAGAATCAGGCAGTGAATGTCAGGAAAAATACATGTGAATTTAGAGGCTCGTGAATTTCAAAAATTCTTGTGAGGTGCTTTTTAATACTTGTACAAAACTTATTAGTAAAAAATCACCACTGGCTAGTATTTCTTCTTCTGTGACTTTTATGAGAGAAGAAGAGTGTAGTGAGTAGACAATTTTAAATTTAATTAGAGAATCCAAGGAATATGAGGTGTCATACTTCATTCAATTCAAAGTAATCTCTTTAGTTTGAGATTACAACAATGATGGATCTCATTAGAGTGAGTATATATTGTCTGGTTTTGATTTGACATGAAGCGAAGCTTAAAAAAGTAGAGAAGGTTTTTTAATCTTGTGGTCTTAAATCAAAGGTAGGTAGAATAATGCTATCAACATTTCATTCAATTTTATGATCTTAATCATGTTATGTGAAAAGTTAGAATCAAAGAGTTGATAGAAAAGAAAAAAAAGACATCTATTATATATTTTATTTTTCTATATATTAGAAGAGAGAGGTTCGGCCATTTCTAGCAACCAGGATGAATATCAATAGCAAAAATGTCATAACTTTGTCTCCCTTTTAACCATAATTTATATGTAATTCTATGAGTTTGACAAACTAAAAAACCTTGAATTCAAGAAACAGTGCACATGACTAATACAAGCTGGATTCCCTTCCTTGACAGCTCTCAAATTAAATAATTATATATTGTTTTTCTGTGAAAATCTTGACAAATAAATCGTACAAAGTAGTACCAGAAAGATTAGACAGTGTTAGCCATTCAGATGTTAATTAATCATTATTCCACCACACTCTTTTTTCTCTTACCTTTTGTCACCCATTTCTTTTTTTAGCCTTTATCTATGGGTAAAAGAAATCAATCTTTAATCTATTTATTTATGTTTCATGCTGAAAGTCTTAATTTTTTGGTTAAGGATTTTGGCTTGTGGGTCTGTTGATTTGGAATCACCGTGGAAGAGGAGAATGCAGAGACTATTGCAACAGTTCAAGATGCTGCTAACTTGATTGAGGATCTTGTTCTCCTACAAATACTGTACAAACTCTATGAATAAAAATATACCTTTGCAGTATCTAAACTTTCAAAAACTGTTCTTCATTCTTCAGTATAAAAGGACAAAAATTCTTTTAAGAAAATAAATCAAGTTTGCTTACCACACCAACAAGATCACCGACAACTCTGGGAGCAACTCCGAGACCTGTGCAGATTCCACCAGCTGAAGTGACAAAAGGGTATGTCCCAAAATTGATATCCAGCATAGTTGCCTGACCACCTTCTACCAAAATCTTCTTTTTCTGAGATATAGCATCATTCATGAAGTGCACGGTATCTGTAACTAAAGGTTCCAACCTCTCAGCAAATTTCTTATGGCGTTCCACTTCCTCCTTGAGCATGTCAGGGCTATACTTAAAACCTTGGAATCTTGAAGCGGCATCTGATAATAAAAGATCAAGCTTTTGGGGGAATGTGTCCATATGCCTTAAATCACTTACCCTCATGCCATTTCGAATAACCTTGCTTGAATAGGAAGGCGCAATGCCTCTCTTGGTGGTTCCAATAAATGACTTATCTAGCTCAGTTACTTCTTGGTGAAATCAAATAACAAGTGAGCACGATCGGATACCAAAATCCTTCCTTGGCAAGCAACTCCATTAGATTCAAGATTGTCAATTTCATTAAAAAGTCCTGGTAGACGTACCACGACTCCATTACCAATAACACATATAGTTTCCTCATTGAGAATCCCTGAAGGTACAAGGTGCAGACCAAACTTCTTCCCCTCAGAATTGTAAATAGTGTGCCAAGCATTGGCTTTAGATGCTCGCTTAGATCACCGGACACTGAAACTTCTCAAGCATTGAACATGGCAGTTTGTCATCATCCATCAAGCATGCTCTATCTTGATGATCACGTTACAGATTCTCAATATCTCATTCTCAGTGGCCATGTACTCCTTGGTTGTTTTCTCAAAGGAACTGCAGCCACACAAACCACTTTCAAAGTTCATCTGCATCAAAGCGATTGTTTTCTTCAACTTTTGGCAGGTAGAGACTCCAACTCATCTCTTCCCACCCCCCAACCCAGAAATAAAATTAATCCTCTAAATCTCCATTGTGTATAAAACGGAGCAGAGAGAGTACGAAGAATAACAAATGAGGGAGTGCACGTGTAATATCACGAAAAGAGTGGTTCAGTGAGGGGTGGGAAAGAAACTCAAACTCAAAACACGAATCACCTCAAAAGCTTACAAACCTGTTAGGGCCTCGAGCATTAGTTAGCCTTGTGAGATAGAGAACAAAACACCAAGAAATAGAACTTTCTCCAAAATCTCTCAGACACACATGAATGCCATGCCACGCAACAGTTTTTCAGCTCAAGAGAGAACATGTTTGATTGCCATTTTGAGTTATACCAGAGAGTACTACAAATAAGAGAAATGGAAGGTCATGTGTAATTTCACGAAAAAGGGTGGTTTTGGGAGGGGTAAAGGAAACTGAACTTTGCCAAGCCAGAACACGAATCAACTCAAAAGCTTTGAAATCTGTCATGGCTGCAAGCATCAGTTAGCCTTATGAGACAGAGAAGATGCACCACAAAATGGAACTTCCTCCTAAATCTCATATACGCACCTGAGGTGCCATGCCGAGCAACAGTTTTTCAGCTTAGGAGAGAACATGTTAAATTGCTTTTTTGATTATACAAGAGAGAGTAATAAGAACAAGAAAAATAGAAGGTCGTGTAGTTTCACGAAAAATCGATCACATTGATGGGATGACTGCTGTGGAAAGCTCCCAGCAGATATCTTCTGCAGAATGTTGCAGTCTCCTTACTATTCTAGTTTCTGCACGATGAAACAGAACATTAACTAGTTACACACGTTTTCTGTCATCATTGATTATTAACACAAACGAGCACTCAGGGCAAATTACCTGGCATGAGTGGCACATCATGAATAGACTTAATATTGTTATTTCATGTTGCCTTAAGACTCACTCATGGCAAAGAACTTATTCTTGCCTTGTTAAAATGGAGAGCTCTACTCTTTGTCTTCCTTATAAGCTCATCCATTTTACCTCGATTTCCAGCATCAATCTATTTATGCGAGTCACCATCCACCCTAGAGGAGAGCATAGCATAGCTCATGGTATCAAATAATTCTTAAGATTTTGGGCCTGTATACCTTCACTGTGTAAACATCAGGACCTGAGATGTTTCTGGAGAGCTTGAAAGAACCATCCCTTGCATTCAATTTGTTAAGGGAACTCAGATGAATCACTAACCCACTGGACAATAGCGGCAACGGAGTAGGAGAAATCAGGTCATCCTCACTGCATGCAAATTAAATTAACTTACACATGCAAGCCTTGTTTATTCACTGATAAGGGTACTATTGATGATCCATCTGTAGCAACAAACTCTGGGTTGCAAATACATTATTCATAGAACAAGACATGGCATTTAAGCAAGAACATAAGCAAGATTCCATGAGAAAAATTAGAGTTAAATGAAGGAGTAAAATATGAGAGCTAGTTAGTGTCGATGGACTAACCTGTTGAATAAATTCTAACTGATCCACATCAGTTAGATTAACGCCCAAAATACACGGAACCTGTATTATCAAGAAAACAATCATTTTCATATGAAACACGTACAAGAGAATCTTGTTAGTTATTGGAGTATTTCCTAAAACGTGAATGATGTCATGGATAGTTTTCCAAATTAAGCTGGAAACTATTCAAGTTTCAACGCCTTATAATTCAAAAAGAGAGAACGTCTAGCATTGTCTCGTTACTGATGGTATTATAACAAATAAGCTCTTCCCTTATAAGTTACAATTCATAATTCACTTGCTATAATCAACCCAAATAAAACATAAATGGACCTTAAGAGACAACGCGCACAAATGACACTTGAAAAGCTTAAACCCTCAAAAATCCTTCTTGCTTTCAACAAGATGGAGCACAGAACTGATATAAACTTTTGTTTTTTTTAATAAAGGTAAAGTTGCATCCTTTAGGATTAAGGGTATGTTAGCTACCTCCAAAAATTTACAAGCTATTTCCATAATTACATAGATACTACGAAATTTACCAACTGTTCCACTTCTTCTATACTCTTTACACCAAAAACACAACATGCAATTTTCTTTAACTTTCTGAATTGTGTTAGTAATATTCTCATGACACTTGAGGTTTCTTTCTCTCCAGATAGCCCACCAGACACTAGCAGGTACTATAGACCATCATTTTTTTTTGGGTCTTGCTCCTCATCTAACTACTCAAAAGATCAGCAGTATGCTCTTGGCATCACCCAGGGCTCCCATGTGCCAAGAAGAAGTGATAAACTGTTATTTTGATACCTCAAAATGGAATAACTAGCCTGAGAAGAACTGTTTGTCATGCTTTCTTTTCCACATTTAGACAGACATATATCCTTCGGAGGGAGGAATATAATATAAAGAGAATAAGCTATAAAGTGTATTAAAAGGTTTGAGAATGTAGGTAAGCAACTAATCATGTATTAACAACTACAATTAGTACAACAATACCTTTCCCTTCTTGGACTGATTTGCAAATGATATGTATGTACTTAACTTTTTGAACGTATAATATGACAGAGACAAGTATTAGGGCATGTTACTGTGTTGACACCCAATTTTGACCCTCCACGATTTGATTAATTTTTAAGCTTCTTAAATTTTAAACAATTGGAAATAATTGTTTTTGAAAAATCCAAAAAAATGTTTTCAGGCTTGGTTTTGTTTTGTTTTTAGAAGCAATTATATATTTTCTATATTTATATACATAAAAGTTTTGTGTACGACTTTGGGGTTTTATAAATTTGTCTCAAAAAATAATGTTTAACTTAATACTTATCTTATGTTTCCTTAAACTAATCAAAATTTTAATTAGTGTTGCGATTAGCTTATTTTTTAATAATTAGTTAATTATTTCACATTTGTAAAATCAAGAAGCTTATTAATTGATTAGATACATAATTTATTTCATTCCAAATATTATCATCTTATTATTTTCAAGACTCAAGGACCTATTTCCTTTGAAATCAAATTGGACCGCATCATTTCAATTCAAACAAAAGAGAGAAGACCCAATTTCCTGGTCCAATTACCTCATGCCCGACCCATTTCCCCTTTTAACCCAAATACTATTCTTGACCCTTTCCAGATCAACAAAAAACGACAACTCCAACCACGCGCGACTCCAGCAACATTCACCCAGAAAAGAACAAACCCATTCCCAAATTTTTGCCTCTTCAATCCCCCCTTTTCTCCTTCAATTCGTACGGTTAAGCGTGCCTAGCACGAGCTCGAAGACAGCTGGAGGCTTCCAGACGTTCCCAAACGGTATTATCCTCCAATTTCAGATTTTTCTTTTCCAATTTCTTTCAAAAATGGTACGATTTCGTACACTAGCTAGTGGGCAATCCTTATCCACTCAAGGATTTTGAAAATTTCCCAATTCCCACATCGTTTTCCCCCCTCAAATTCGACCTAGAAGATACTTTAAACTCAAACAACCACAAAAAGGCACCAAATTTAAACTATGGAACCAAGAATTCCCAAAACTTTTAGGGTACTCTTTGGTCTCCAAAACTCCGTCCAGTGAACAGTGAGCAAAAAGGGTATTTATAATTGTCCCCGTCCAAACTCGTCGTTCTTCTTTTCTTGAGTAATTTTTACCTCTGTTTCTTTCAGTTTATCATTCAAGTGTGTTGCTTATTTTTGTAATAATTTAATTACTTTTTAGCACCTTAAATGTGAATGTTTCCTTCCTGTTTTTTTCTTCTTTTGTTTAGTATATTGCAGCTCTTGTCTTACTGTTGTTTTCTTTAGTCGCTATTAATGTATGCTGCCTCACTGGGGTCATGATTGAAAGCTTAAGTCTCTCTTGAATGTCTTAAATGTTTTCTTTTAGTCCTTTAGCTTAAAAGTAGATCAATTTTGAATAAGTTTTAAGTGCCTAAACTTGTTTACTTTGTAATCTGTTCATGGTCGTTTTCATGTAATTTGGAGTTGTGAATCTAAGTGATGAAGCGTTGAAATTTCCTTGTCTTTCCATTTAAATTTGTAAAATCTATGAAGACATTTGTCCAAGTCTCTAAATTAGCTATATGTTTTCTGGAAACATTATCAAGGACCTTTCTCTGCCAAGTTTTGATGTGTTAAATTTTGAGAATCTGATTTTGTGCGAGTTTAAGTTGCCCTGCTTCTCATTTTATGATATGGTTTTCTTTATCCTTAAGCATGATAAAATACTTGTGACACTCGGAAAATTAATTGTATAAATTAAGTTGCCTTCACTGTTTGTTCTAAATTATTTGAAACTGGCCAGTTGATTTATTTGAAGTCTAGTTCACCCTTTGTTCACTTACATGGTTAAGTTCATGTGATATTGTGTGATTCAAATGTTTATTTCCCTGATTGTTTAAACTCCTCAACTTTAAAGTATCTTCCAGCGACTAAGTTGATTCTTGTATTGACTATGAGTGAACGGTTTCAATTTCAATTTTAGAGCGGTCAATATGGGCTAGACCTGTTGGGCCGGCTTGGCTTAACCCGTGATTTGATATGGCTGGGCTATGATTTTTGAAGCCCATTTAAGAAAAGGATTTTTTAGCCTAACCTAAATAAGTATGTCAATTTGTGGGGCTTGAGAAATATGGATAAGGCCGGCCCGTGGGCCAAATAAAAATAAAATAGAGTATTAAAAATAACAGGAGTCTACACTCAAAATCTGTTTAAAGTTTGAAATATTACAATTTAAATACAAATTATGTTTATAAAATATGTACTACATAAAATAAAGTTCCTAAAATTTCTAGGGAATCACTACATAGGCCTATGGAATATTATCATAGTTTTTTGTGTTTTTATTATGATCATTGGAAAATAATTAGGTTAATATTTCTATTTAGCTATTTATGTTTTTACTTGAAATTAAACTTAATAAATATTATATAGATAATTTTATTAGTGTATTTGATTAACAAGTAGTAACACTAGTCGATATTTATGATAATATTTTTAAATTATAATTTAATTTAAAAAAATTTAAAAAATATATTTTTAAGAAAGAAGGGCTGGCTCGACAAAGCCCATAGCCCACGCACTTGTGGGCTGAGCCGATCATTTTCTGACCCACATAAAAAATGGGCTAGCCCGATCTGGCCCATCAAATTGCAAAGCATGTATAGGTTAGCCCGAATGGGGTGGGCTAGCCCATATTGACAACTCTTCTCCTTCATCTTTACTGTTGCTTCCATCATGTACATAGCTTCAACACAAATTGTCTAATTCCTTTTTGGTTTGATTAAAGATTACATTTAGTAGGAGGTTATTTGCGAGCAGATGGGTTAATTAGAAAGCCTCCGTTTAGTTGCTGCTATACTTGATTGCCTATTGTCGTTAGTTGTTTTACTGTTTTATCCAGTAGTAATGTCATTCTTCTTTGTTTTCTTCGTGATTTGTAATATTTTGTTGTAATAGCTTTCTCCTACTTGCTGCTGAGAGTTATATATGATTTCCTAAGACATTTATTTAGACCTGAGATTTTTCTTTGGGATCACTATTTTACTGAATGTTGTTATGTTGTTATCTGGCTGTTAAATCAATGTCCAAATTCTCTTCATAATTTTCCAGAAATCCTTTTTTTTTTTTTAGCTTTTGTTCAAAGTAAATCATTGTCGCTAATCTTTTTATTGTAAGGTTGAGTTGTGATTGATAGAAAATTAGCTCTGTGGTTAACTGATTTGTTGCTTGTTTGATCATCGTGAAAATAAGAAGTGTATTTTGTTAGGGAGTAATTTGTTAGAGATCATCGAGTTCCTGTGTGTTATCTTTATTGGTGTTGAATATGTCGTTAAGGTACCCTTCGGGATGGCCCAGTGGTTTGGGCTTGGGACTTCCATGTTGGAGGTCTCAAGTTCGAAACCCCTTGCCAGCGAAAGCAAGGGGTTTGCCTTCTGGGTCGAGCTCGTCGCACCGGGCTTGCCTAGTGCGGGTTACCTCTCCTATGTGGTTTGCAAGCTATTGCATAGGAGTGGGGGTTTCACCCTGTGCGCACCCAAAGGGTAGCGGCTGCGGGTTTCCCTTGTCATAAAAAAAAAAAATATGTCGTTAAGGTTCATAGTTCACGTGTATTATCAAAGTCACTTGCTAATCCTTTCTTCTTCTTTTGACTTGGCATGAACTATCCTGTTCAAGTCCATACGAACTCCCCTCTCTTGTATATTCCTCTTCTTGAGTAAACCTCCATCGGAGTCTTGAAAGGGAAGACATGTTATTGGGTTAAAATCCCAAGGAAATAGCAGTAACAGCAGCTCAAAAGGCTGAAACATGAAGAGCAAAATTAGGTTAAAACCCATAAGGGATGGGGCAGCAGTTCACAACAATATCAGTCCCCAAAATGGTCGAATATGGGCTGGAAATTTCAGTTTTATAATTCACTGTTTATGTTTATTTCCTCAATATTATTTTCATCATGAATGCTAACATTTTTCTGACGTTTTATTGACTTGGAGGAATCCGCATAAGAGTTAACATTATTTATCAATTTCCTTTATCAAATTCCTTTTCAAGTGGTTGGTTCGCTTAATTATTTATCAACGCAATTTATTTTTAGGTGACTTAAGCTTATAAACTAACTTGAGAATTATTCATATTCTTTCCTAGTTAGTATTTAGTTTTCAAATCCACGCTTAAGTTATTGTTTTGATCCTTCGACTCAAACTTAAACCAAAACATATAGCTTCATGTTTAGTGCTAGGTTTAACTATAATGAATGTTGCAAAATTTAGTGCAATGGAATTTCAGGTAAATGGCAATTTTATCAAGTTCCATAGACGGGTTGTGTGATGAAAATCTAAACAAAGATCGTAACTTACCTGGTAAATGATTTTGACGCTTGAGAATGAATGTTGGAAATCCAACCCCAGTTTTGAATTTTCGCTGGTGTAAAGTAAGCATACGAAACCATAGTTAATATGGACAAACAAAAAGGAAGCGTATCTGAAGTAAGAATTATAAGAACAAACATAAAAAGAACACTCCTCTAAGGAGGTGAATCTCATGAAAAAATGGAATAAGAGTTGGTTTGTTTAAAGCCTGTTGGTTTGTTTAGAAAATGGAAGAATCATAGGCAAAGCATAGAGAAGGGTAAACACCCTTGTGTATGCAATCTATGTCTCTTTCTCTTTTTTAAGGGCTGTTGGTTTGTTTAGAAAATGGAAGAATCATAGGCAAAGCATAGAGAAGGGCAAACACCATTGAATAGAAATCCCATTATTCTCTCTGCTGCTTCATTCTTAGCTTATCTAACAAGAAGGGGTTCACAGGTAATTACTTGCAAAAACGAAAATGCAAACTAGCATATTTGATTGAGATAAGATTAGATACAGACCTAACCCTCCCAAGAAATTTGATAACACACTGTCACCACAACTTGGGGTGGAAGATTGATCACATTGATAGGATGACTGCCGTGGAAGCTCCCAGCAGATTGCCATCAATGGTATCACGAATCAATGAATCGCCAACAAAATGCAAGACACCAGAAAGGACATTGAGTATAGTAGCCTGATTCTTAAGATTCCTTGTTCCAGTACCGTTCTGCATCTCATATTGGAAAAGGTAAAAGTCCATCATCTTAACAAAATAGAGAAGAAGTCACAAAAACTTCTGAGATACAGCTATGGTACTGAACTGTAATCTCTGGACGGAAGTCCCTCCATTTTATCCCGGAATCTAAGAAACTTCGAGTTTTTGTTGGAATGACAATTTTATTACAAGATCAGAACATAAGAAAGATGGAATTTGAAAGAGAGTATGTGGCCTAGGAAACTTAGAAAGAGACATTGTAATCTCTAATACTTTCATGATTAATAATGAATGCAGTTCAAGATAATCGTGAAAAGTGGGTGAAAGAGATTAAGCTAATTAACTGAAACATGCACTAGGAAAATGTAGCTCTTATTCAGATCAGGAACAAATGGCAAGAATGGTTTACCTTCTTCTGACTCCCCGTCATGTGTACGTGTGCACTCCCCTTGAGCTTGTAATTTGCTATTCAGATGTAAACAAGTTTCCTTTTCACACTTGGCCTGAAGAGAGAAACATCAAGTCGTGTGAGTTACTGACATATTTGATTAAAATAATATCAAAAAGGGACCTAACCCTCCCAAGAAATTTGATAACATTTATCTTTTATCAGAGAATACACCATCACCACAACTTGGGGTGGAAGATTGATCACACTGATGGGATGACTGCTGTGGAAGCTCCCAGCAGATAGCTTCTGCAGAATGATGCAGTCTCCTTAATACTCTAGTTTCAGCACGATGGAACAGAACATTAATTAGTTGCACATGTTTTCTGTCATCATTGATTATTAACAGAAAAGCACTCAAGGGTAAATTACCTGGCACGAGTGGCACATCATGAACAGTCTTAATACTGTTATTTCTAGAAGACTCACTCATGGCAAAGAACTTATTCTTGCCTTGGTAAAATGGAGAGCTGAATGATTTCTTCTACTCTGTGTCTTCCTTATAAGCTCATCCATTTTACCTCGATTTCTAGCATCAATCTATTTATGCAAGTCTCCATCCACCCTAGAGGAGAGCATAGCTCATGGTATCAAATAATTCTTAACATTCTCTTCACACCTCTTATCCATCAATTTGGGCCTGTATACCTTCACTGTGTAAATATCAGGACCTGAGATGTATCTGGAGAGCTTGAATAAACCATCCCTTGCATTCAATTTGTTAAGGGAACTCAGATGAATCCCTACCCACCGGACAATAGAGGCAACAGAGTAGGAGAAGCATGTATGCAAAGCAGGTCATCCTCACTGCATGAAAATTTAAAAAATCTGAGAAACCAGACAAGAAACATCCTTAAGGTAACTAGTGTATCAAAGATGGACCTTTCAATAACAGCAATTTCGAAGGAAACACTGGGATGCACAAGGGTGATTCTCAACAGAGACTCTTTCTGAGAATGCAAGACCCTCTCTTTAGGCTTCTAGATTATACATGCAAACCAAAAGATCAAATTTTTTACTTGTTTGAAGTTTGAGGAAAACTAGAAGTACTTGGAGTGCATTTGTTTCCTTCAAACTGGTTGGTTGTAAAAGCATCACAAACAATGACTGTAAAAAGAAAAATCCCTAGAAAGTTCCTTATTATAAAACAGCAGTCAACTCATGTATCATATAGTCTTATACAGGTTACCTGTTGTACAATTATTCTTCAACAATCATCATTTCCAAGGTACAAACACTTGCCGTCCTGTAAACAATGGCAAGAACAAAGACCAAGTTAGTAGTTTTATATCCATTCTAATGGATACTGCCATATAAAACTCAAAAGAACTGTACCTTTAAAACCTTACAATATCCATTTGGCCTCCCGTGAGTTTTAGTACCAATATCCAACAAAGACATGTCAGAAATCTAAGAGCTTAGAGCCTCTCCTTTTCAGTCAAAGCTTGCTGGGGAAGCATGCATATCATCTGAATGGCTGTATTTCGATGTCGCAGGTGTAAAGCAAGCATTCGAAACCACAGTTAAAATGGAGACAAAAAGGAAACACAGCAGAAGATAACAGAAACAGGCACTATACTGTCTCCATAGGCTGGCTAAAGTACCTACGCACCAATATGTATGTTCCAACTCAACTTCCGCTAGAATAAGTAATCAAAACATCTTTACATACAGTAGTGAGCAACAAAAAATATATGTCATCTCTCTCTCTCTCTTTGTATGTGTGTGTGTGTGTATATACCCCTCCGGCCCTCCCCTTTTTTTTGGGACGCTGTACAGGTAAAGGAAGTATTTTATAGCAAATGAAGCACCAGGAACACGATGTACATGAACATCTTGCAATAAAACCAAAATCAAAATGTAAGCATCAATGTTTTGTGTTGTGTACAGCCATACCAGTTCTAACAATTACAAGTAAAACCACAAAATAATAAATAAAAGATTATCTGTAAAAAGATATTAATGAACAAAATCCCTCAAACAACCGATTAGTTGAGTAATGCATGCAATCCAATAAACTACAACAAACATTCCAAGTTATGAACATCATAGTTGTCGGGCAATATAGATTATGTACAGCAGCATCAATACAATAGAAAAGATGAAGGTAGTCCAACATTTTGCAAAAATATTACCATGTCTTTCTCCTATCAGCACCAGTCCATCTCGTGAGGCACCAGATCCTTCAAAAGAAAATACAACTTCAGGTGATGAAGTAAGATAACAAATTGAGCAGAACTTTCTGCACATCAAATGCATTAGATCAATGTTAGAGAAACATTGTCATCCACCTTAACATAGCAGGTCCCAATACCTATAATTCACTAATTTTGAACTAGGAAAAAAGTCCCAACACTTCCTTAATATGGACTAGAGGGAGTACTAATGAACACAAACCGTCAAACAGCCTATCAGTTGAGTAATGCATGCAATCCTAGAGACTACTACAATTATTCCAAGTTATGAACACCGTTGTTGTCAGAAAAAAAAACTATGTACAGTAGTATCAATACAATAGAAAAGATGATGTCAATCCAACATTTTGCAAAAACATTACCATAACTTTCTCCCATCAGCACCAGTCCATCTCGTGAAACACAAGATTCTTCAATAGGAAGTACAACTTCAGATGATGAAGTAAGGTAATAACTGAGCAGAACTTTCTGCACATTAATGCATTAGATCAATGTCAAAGAAACTAATACTTACCAGTTGCCATATTCTCAGCAGCCCACGTCTATTGATCCTCAAAACATTAACAAAATCAGACAACATATAATTCCCCAGTCTCTTACATGGCACAATTTTCAACTTTTAAGAAACAATCAAAATCAAAAAATCTAGACCATGTTCATTTCAAAGAAAAGAAAAGGTTTAGACCATGTAAAGAAAATGGCTACTGAGGGTGTTTACAGAAGCCTGTCCAATCGAATGTCTTCATTCAAAATACTACAAATAACAACTTCTTATAATTAAACTACTAAAAAAATTTAAGTTGTTCGAGTGGGGCCTTCAAGAACAACTCCACAACTTTCCATTAAATACCTAGTAAAATAATAAAATCATAAGTCATGAGGATATTAATAATGAACAGTTAAGTACAGTCAACCAAATGTTGCATTAGTTATGTCGAGCTTATTTTTTCTTATGCGGATAACTGAGAGCTACATAGTCATGCGGATACTACTTTTTCTTATGCAGCCAACAAATGGTATACTATTTATGCGGAAGTTTATGTTGAGGTTTATATTTGCTAACGAGTCCAACCAAACGATTCCTATACTATTTATGCAGAAGTTTATGCTGGGATTTATATAAGATAATGAGTTCAACCAAAGGATTCCTGAGAAACAATTGTTTAAAGTAAATGTGTTACAAGAAAAATCATGAGAAACCAAGAATGGCCATAAGGGACTATGCAAAGGACAAAGTAGACCTGATCAATTGTAGGATAAACTTCTTATCAACCTGTTGGAGAACTTTCGCACCCTCCACGCAGTTTTATCAATTGTATCAGGAACCAATGAATCACCTACAAAGTACAAGACGCCAGAAGTGACATTGAGTATAGTATCCTGATTCTTAAGATTGTCTGTTCCAGTACCGCTCTGCATCTCATATTGTAAAAGGTTAAAGTCCTCCATCTTAACAAAATAGAGAAGAAGTCGCAAAAACATCCGAGATATAGTTAAGGTACTCAACTGTGATCTCTGGACGGAAGTCCCTCCATTTTATCCCAGAATCTAAGAAACTTAGAGTTTTTGTTGGTGCAAATTCTGGAAAATTGACAAAAAAGGGTCAGGCATGACAAAACTAATACAAGAGCAGAACATAAGCAAGATGAAATTTTGAAAGAGAGTAGGAGACTATGTGGCCTAGGAGACTTAGCAAGAGACATTGTAATCTCTAATGCCTTCATGATTAATGAGAATGCAGTCTAAGATAATCTTGAAAAGTGGGTGAAAGAAATGAAGCTAATTAACTGAAACATGCACTAGGAAAATTCAGCTCTTATTTAGGCCAGGAACATATGTCAGGAATGGTTTACCTTCTTTTGACTCCCATCACGTGTACCCTTTGCCCTCTCCTTGAGCTTGTAATTTGCTATTCCAGATGTTAACAAGTTTACTTTTCAAACTTGCCCTGAGAGAAACATCGGGTTGTGTGAGTTACTGACATATTTGATTGAGATAATATCAGAATGGAATAACTAGCCTGAGAAGAAGTGCTTGTCATGCATTGTTTTCCACATTTAGACAAGCTTATATCCTTTAGAGGGAGGAATATGAATGTTGAAGAGAATAAGCTATACAGTCAGTGTAGTAAAAGGTTTGAGAATGTAGGTGAGCAACTAATCCTGTATTAACAACTACAATCAGCAACTACAATAGCTTTCCCTTCTAAGACTGATTTGCAAATGATTTAAATATACTCAACCTTTTGAATATATAATATGACAGAGACAAGTATTAGAGAATGTTACCACAAAAAGTGTGACAGATGTTGGTTGCTTGTGGATAAGATTTAAGTTCCTGCTTTAACCAAAACATATAACTTCATGGTCAGTGTTAGGTTTAACTTTAGTGAATGTTGCAAAATTTCGTGCAATGGGATTTCTGGTAAATGGAAATTTTATCAAGTTCCATAGATTGGTTGTGTGATGAAAATCTAAACAAAGATCGTAACTTACCTGATAAATGATCTTGAAGCTTGAGAATGAATGTTGTACATCCAACCCCAGTTTTGAATTTGGTCGGCATAGTTGTACAGTAATTGGTAACCAACTTCAAACATGACCTGCAAAAGCATAGTCAAAGACTCAAAATCAATGGTACCTATATTATAAAGAGTTTCAAGACTTCCCCACAAGACTCAAAATCAATGTTACCTATTATCAAAATAAATATATCAATTCTCGCTCTGGATCAAGATAGGTTGTTGGCCTCATTTTTTTTAGACAGGACCTGATAATTCAATAAGTTACAGACTCCAAAAGTTGAAATGGCACTTCAATGAGTTTTTAGACAATCATTACCTTCCCGTGAAATTCTTACAGACTCTCTTGCCATATTCTCAGCAGCCCATCTATTGACCCTCAAAACATTAATAAAATCAGAAAACATATAGTTCCCCATTCTCTTACATGGCACAATTTCAAATTATAAGAAACAATCAAAATCAAAAAGTCTAGACCATGTAAAGGAAAATGGCTACTGAGGAGTTTCCGGAAGTCTTTCCAATTGAGCGTCTTCATTAAAAATACTACAAATCACAACTTCTTATGATTAAACTACTTAATGTTCTTAGAGGTGCGAGTGGGGTCTTCAAGAACAACACATCATCTTTCCATTCAATATCTAGTAAGATGATAAAGAACATTGAAACTTTGAAAGGGTTAATGAGTACCTTGGTGGTACCAGCATCAAGGCTGTTGAAAAGTAACTCCTCAACATAAAAAGCAAAACTTCAAAAAAAATCAGGGCTTGCCAGAGAAGGAAGGCAACCACCCCTCAAAAATCCAACATTTCATTCAAATGCCTCATTCTTGACCTGTTTATCAAAAGATGGAGATACATTACGAATGAAAAGCACTAAAACTACAAATAGGAAGGGTGTGGGTTCAATATCTCCCACATTTTCCCTTTTTTTCTTTAGCAAATTGAGGCTCAGATCTGTGTTATGATAAGGCCAAAGATAAGCCAACCACACCATGGCTGCAATACACGATTGCATGTGTGAGTTATGCGTCTCAATTACAGGACATACCGAGTTGCCCCGCCAAGACACAGGGTTGGGTAATCTCAATGCCCGGATTTAGTTAGCCCAGAAATCATCACTGCCTCTTTAATAATTTTCATGGTCATGTTGTTGTAGTATAGTTGTACTGTGTATTGCCTTATGAGCATACGTCTAAGGGTGCAAAAATGCAAAGAAACCCAGAATTCAAGTGTACTCTCTCTGTCTCTTTTCTTTTTTAAGGGCTGTTGGTATGTTTTAAAAATGGAGAATCATAGGCAAAGCATATTGAGAAGGGCAACCAACCTTGATAGAAATACCATACTCTCTGCTGCCTCATTCTTGCCTTTTTAGACTTCACAAGACTCTTTCGGCCAATTCTTTCTCCTAAACCTCAGATTAAACCAGGAAAAAGAAGACAAAGCAACTGACCTTATCCTATAATTGAAAGCTAGCATAGCTAGATAGAACTTACCCCCAGTCCTTTGTGGGGGACTCAAGAAGTTGTTTCTAATAGACCTCAGCTCAAGAAAATCACAGTCCAGAACGGTAGTGTGCTCTATCTGCAAGAATAACAACATAATTTTTTTTTTAAAGATTTCTTGAATTTCCTTAATTCGTACAATGCCAATACATTCTTGAAAACTACCGTTTCTTTGATTTCCTTAAAATATGCATTTATGAATAGCAATGTAATTTAAAAAGATTTTTTTCTTAAAAGGAATGCAGGCAAGAATTCAAGACAATATCGACTTCTTGAATTTTGCAGTAGTATTACTTGAGAAAAATGATTTAGGCTTTAAGGATACCAATTCTTGATTATTATTTTTCCTTGCAATAACTTCAGTTGTTGATTTGAAGGAAAAAAGAATAACAAGATAATAGGAAGAGCAATAGTATACGAATAGATTTAGGGTTCAGATGATCAGTCATCTAATGGTGGTGAGTTGAAAGCGGGGGAAGTAGGCGGTCGGAGTTCATGGTGATTGGTGAGTTTCTAAAATATGCAGGGGTGTCTCGATGGCATATGGGTCTACTTAATAGTTTTCAAAAGGAAAACTTTTTGTCTTTCCATATTTTTCCACAGGAAAAAATACAGATAACTTTTTAAATATTTTATATTTCATACAAAATTATTTTGAATAAAGATTATTCCGTATATAATAATCTTTTTAACATAACTAAATTTGCTATCCCATTAGAATATTAATAACTTACAAAATTCTTGTAAAATAAATATATGTACACAACAGTATTATAATTAAAGAATTTTCATAAATATTTAAGACATTTTAGAGAAATGTTTTTTTTCAAATTTCAATATATTTGATTTATTAAATCACACATGATGTAGCAGTAAAATTCTTAATATCTGACTAAATTATTTAACTTTTAATTACTTTATCATTTTTGATATTTTTGTTCCTGAATTCTTCAATAAATTTAGGAATCATATATAATCTAATTACGTATATTTATAGTTGTCATTCCATATAAATTATAATTTTAATGGGTTTAGTCATGTGCCAAAAGGTCATAATTTTTTTGGATAACAATCGTAAAAGATTACCATACCATCAAAACCAGTACAAATAAAGAGCACATATACCTTGTAACATGGATTAGGCCTCCTACAAAACTTAATTACAAAGTAAAAATTGAACAAAACTCCTACAACTTTGTGTTTTCTTTGAACTACTAAGAAATTGTAATCCCTCTATAATCTCCTTTTTGATCTATGTTGCCGCCTCCTTTGTATATACAGACTTGCCTTTGAACTTTTTCCAATTCCTGGTTCTCCATATGTGATATAATTGGAATTTATCAACAACTGAGTTATCAAAAAGCTATAAAATTAAAATCTGACTTCAACTCTGATTCAAACACTATCCCAAAATTATTATTCTTAAAAAAGAAAAAGATTTCTTGAATTTATTGATATTTGTCAGGCCCACACATTCTTGAATATTGAGTGTGTTTACTGGAATATATTTTGCGAAAAAAATATTATATATTACATTTAATTTTAAATCCCTCCCATGAAATTTATTAACCAAAATAACTACGTAATATATAATTTTTATTTATTTTTGAAATCGATAATATGTAAACTTTACTTTGAAATAATTTAAATTAATATATAAAATAAATTACGTGGACATTTTGCACATGAAATGAAAATTAAAAAAGAATTCTCCCTTTTTTACTATATATAATAAGTGGGAATATCTACTACTTAGCACATGACAAGTGTTGGATGATATGTGTTTCATAGTGTTGTACATTCTTCTTTTATGGTTGTACCTTTAAAATTTATATTATTGGACAATTTAACACCATTAATTACCTACTACTTTATTAGCCAAAACGTTTGACCTCATTTGGGCCCATTTATTCTTTATATGTTTTCAATTTTCAATATATGTTGTCTATCTAATTCTTTTTTTCAACCTTTTATTTTAAACTTCTTGAAATTTAATTACCTATTTATTACTCTCTCTATGCACTTTTAATTGTTATGATTTCCTTTTTAGAGTCAAACTATAAGAATTTTAACTAATATTTTACAATGTGTTTTTTCATCATATTCATAGGCAAAAAATTACAATTTATAGTACTTTTTGTATAGATTTTGCATATTTAAATTTTTTGTTTAAAATATCGAATTAATA